AATCCTAATAAAATGTTACTGTGTTTAAAGTTAAAGCCACCAAACTGAATCAGAGTCAAAAAAAAAAAAATTATTTGTCCCTTAAAAGACAGCTTTTTTCTTCTTCCTATTTAGCATAACTATTAGAGTGTATTGTTCTGAAATGTCGGTTACATCAACGAACGTGTAAAGTGAATGTAACTGAACAATCAAATAATTTTTCAACAGCTCGTGAAAAATTTTAATATTAACAGGTTTAAATTAGTCAGAATGGCAAATTTTGTGCTACTTTTTTCTGCATCTATTATTGTTTTTACCGTTAACAGTTTTTTGGTAATTCCGTATGAATTTGTGGAATTATCGAGTCGTCTAAACGTTGCTAAATGTCAAGCGAAATGCGCTATTAAAGTAAGTGTTTTGTACTGTCGGCTTTGTGTCAACAGTAAATTTGTTGTTCTAATCTATCGTATGTTCAGTTTATTAAAGCTTTTTAAATAATTTTTTGTAAAATTTTTGTAAATTTTTTATTTTGAATTATACAAATAATGTATTGCAGTAATGGTAACAAATAAAAGTACAAAAGTATTGTCTTTTTTAATAAATTTTTTTTTCTGTTTTTGTAGACAACAAATTACAACAAATTTTAAGTGTAGTCAAAATGTTAAGTGTTTCTTTTCTGTTCCGCTTTCTTTGTTTTTAGTTTGGTACACCTATAAGAAGGCGTCAGAACAATGGAAAAGTTGTAATCTATTGGATTAATAACAGTGAGGAAGCCAAAAAGGTTTGTTTTATTTTGTTGAACCGGTAGACTGTAAATTTAAATTTAATATTTAAGTTTTAAAAAAGTTGTTATACCAGCATGAAAAAACTGTCTTATTATAATACAATTAATTTTTCAAAGACACAGTTTCAACTTTATTGATGTTTATTGCAATTTAAAAAAGGCAAGAAAAAATTTACATTATTGTATTTGAAGTGTGAAATAAGATGTACAGATGAATATTTGAAAAATTCAACTTTGCAAAATGGAAATGTAACAGAATTGACTGTTAACAACGACGACAGCATCAAACAGAGTTGGAAATTTACTCCTTCAAATATTTAATAAAACTAAATCTTTCAATTCAATAGTTTTAAAAATTAAACCCTGCCCAATTTTAATTGAACGACTACAGTAATTGATCAGTTTTTTTAAACATTAAAAATTAAAAGATTCATCAAAAACACTTGTGTCATCAATTTTATAGATGTAATCTCTTCGTCGTCGTCATGTGTCATATCATCAGTGGTCCCCAAATGTCTTAAAAGACAGTCTTTACAAAAAAATTTTGGTACTTCATCAGTAACAGTTGCGTTTGCCAATAATGGATGTACAGACAATACACCTATACGATATGTGATTCAATGGAAACAGAAGTCGCTAGCAAAGCAGTATAAAGATGAAACACCGTGGATAACTGCATCAGTTTGCTTTAAATTTGGTTCTTTTATGCGATACAGTAATGAATCAACATCTTGTTTGTTAGCACTTTTTTTTTGTACTGCGTTGTAACTTTAGTTACAAATTAATTTGATATTACAAAATTAAGTAGAGTGATAATATATGAGTAAAAATATTTTATTATTTAAGCACTTCATGATTAGATGTATAAAGAAAATTTTCAGATTGAAAGTTTTCCCACTGCTACCGTTGAGGCTTTGTTACCGCATATACGATACAAACTTTTGGTGTGGAAAGTTAACAAAGTTGGTATTGTTGGAAGACCAACGGAAAGTGCCTGGTTTGAGGTCTTAACAACAGACTTCAACGAACGTAATCAACCTAATCAGAGTAAAAGCTTTTTTTTCTATTTAAAGCAATCCTTAAATATTTTCTCAATTTTTTTTTTACAATTTTTTTTTGTTTTAATAAAACGACAATTGTTAATTATGCATAATTTCATCTGTAAACAACAAAACATTTTTGATCTATGTTGATTATTCTGCAATCTCAAAAAATAAAAACTCTTGATCTTTGCTACCAGGTCAATAGTAAAAAAATGCAGATTATTTACCTTTCTTTTTCAGCTGCTTATAGATTTAGTGTTATAAACCATTTCGACTTCAAGAATGGTATTTCATTTCTGGTTCGAGGTCCAATAAATTACAATGAGAATGCCGTCAGTTTAGTGTCACAAACGTGTGATTACAGTATCACTTTGGAAAACAGTACCCATTGTGTCTCAAAAACTGTTACACTTGTAAGCAGCAAACTTATTTAGTAAACAAATGAAATTATCAACATAAATATACTAAACATTAAAAAGTAAAAAAATAAATTTACTCTAAGACAGTTTTACCTATAATTTTAGGATGAATCTGATGCAATAATTCTTCCCAAATTACAATATTCTTCCGGATACAGAATAACAGTATATGCCTGGAAAAATCTTAACATATCGTCAAATCAAAATATGGAGCTAGACAATAGGATATACAGCATCAATAAGACTACACCACGTTGTGAAGACTACCTAAACTTTGCAGATGTTCAGTGTGGTGAGTTGGCAGTTTACGTTATTACATTGTGCAAAATCTCCTACCTGTAAAGCTGAAACAATTTTAAATTTGCAGAGTTTAAGTTGCATGCTGAAGTGTTATCAGCAGGCATTGTCAAAGTTGAATGGAATCCTCCAATTTCTTTTCGCAGAATCTACATTTATCGTCTCGAGTATGATGTCGTAGGAACCAGTAAAGATGGAAAAAGAATGCAAACTCTTCAAACAAATTTTGAATTTTTAGATGCAGTTAGTTCCTACTGTGTTTACAATAAACAATAATTCTATTTCAGAGATAAAAAAAATTAAGGTTAGGTTCTCATTGCATTGCTTAGGAGGTTAAAGCTTCAAGAACAGATTATTTGCATTCTTCTGTTTCACCAGTTACTTTCCGCCATACAATTTTCAAAAAAAAAAAAAAAAAAAAAA